TCAGGTAATCCACTCACCTCAGCCTCCCAAAGGCGCGGGATTACAGGCTGAGCCACCAAGCCTGGCTTGTTTTGTTTCTTAATAGAATTATTTGTCCATGAAACCAAATTTACCATAGATTAACTGTTTTAAGAAGTAGATGTTTAGCCGGGCTCGGTGGCTCAGCCTGTAATCCCGCGCCTTTGGGAAGCTGAGGTGAGTGGATGGCCTGAGCCCGCGGGTTCGAGACCCGCCTGGGCAGCGAGACCTCATCTCTACGATAAATCAAAAAATGAGCCAGGCGTGGTAGCGCACACCTGTAGTTCCAGCTACTTGGAAAGCTGAGGCAGAAGGATCACCGGAGCCCAGCGGGTCGAGGCTGCAGTGGCCAGGAGGCCACTGCACTCCAGTCTGGGCAACAGAGTGAGACTCCAAGTCAAAAAAAAAAAAAAAATGAAGATGTTATAAAAATGAGACAATATCTGACTTACAACTAGCCATTCAAAAGGCAAACAAGAGCATTGATCTAAGTCTTCCTTCTCAGTAGCCTCTGTTTGTTTGATTCCTAGAACATTAATTGCATCTTGTGCTTTAAGTCACAGTGGAACATGGCTCTAGGAAAATAAACTTTATAAAATTCCACAGGCTGGGGTCTGATGAGGAAGGGACCTAGAGTCCTGAGGCAGGGGCATTGACAGGGTTATTTTTTTTTCTAACATATAGTATTCAAGTCATGCCTCCTTCCCTTCTTTCCTCTAAAAGGAAGCACTGATCAAATGTTCCACTTTCCCCTTCTATCTCTGAGGGCAAGAGCAAAGGGCCTTACCTGGATATGGTGCTGAGGTGCTCTGGAAAGAGGCCGGTGGGGTGAGGGTAGTGTAACTGTAGGAGGGAGCCACCTGCAGAGGAGTAGCAATCTGCATTTTCCCAGAACCTTTTGCTTGCTGAGTGCTGGGTGTAGTAGTGGGATCCTCTGATGCTTCAGGTTGCACTGATACATTCTTTGGCCAACCAGACATCTCTGAAGTCAGGTCTGTGGTTAAGAGACTGGAAATTGTAACTGCCTCATGGACCTGAAGAAGTACAAAAATTTATTTGAGCAGGCAAAAAATTATACAGTTTTTCATGTTATGTCTCATGAAATGATAGTGCATTAAATGTTTTCTTGAAAATGCAAAAGTGTCAAAATATTACAGAAACTAATCTCATCACTCAAAGAAAAATGATGTTAAAAATGTTGCTATAAGCCGGGCTCGGTGGCTCAGCCTGTAATGCCAACGTTTTGGGAGGCTGAGGTGAGTGGATTGCCTGAGCTCGCGGGTTTGAGACTCGCCTGGGCAACTTGGCGAGACCTCATCTCTACAATAAATCAAAAAAATTAGCTGGGTGTGGTAGCGCGCGCCTGTAGTTCTAGTTACTTGGAAGGTTGAGGCGGAAGGATCGCCGGAGCCCAGCAGGTCGAGGCTGTGGTGGTGGCCGGGAGCAGCCACTGCACTCCAGTCTGGGCGACCGAGTGAGACTCCAACTCAAAAAAAAAAAAAATGTTGCTATAAATCTTCTCAGTTTTTTTCTATACAAAGAGTTTTGTTTAACATGAAATAGTAATTTTCTGTATTCTTGATGTGCTGGAAAAAGAAAACAAAATAGTAATGACTGTACGATGTATACTTTTGTTTTCTTTTCTTAACAATTCTATTCAATCTTTTTACAAATATTTCGTGAGCACCTATTATGAAACAGGTCTTGTGGATCCAAAATATAAATAAAACTAATATTTGTGCTCAACAGTGGAAGAGAGAGAACTGAAAGCCTAACAAGCCAAAATGTCAAATATAACTATAAAAATTATGATGAACCCAAAAAAAAAAAAACACTACCTGAAAGTACTTGAACCCTCTCTCTTGAAGAAAGGGAGAGTGTAGATAAAAATTATTGTTATTATTTGTTTTGTTTTTAAAGAAAAAGGCTTCCTTGAAGAGAAGAGTCCTGAGTTGAATTGTAGAGGATAAAGTTATATACTAGACAAAAGGTTGAGGGGAGAGAATGAGTACAGGCACAAGAAATAAAATGAACATGATCTGTGTCGGGAACTGAGAGCCATAAGCAGAGTGAGAGGCAGAAGTAATGGAAGATGAGCTGGAATGACAGGCAAGGACCTGACAAAGAAAGCATTATATGTTATTTCAAAGAACTAGGTAATAGTAAGCCATTTAAGGTTTGTATGCAGGAAAGTGACATGGTCAGGTTTCTGCTTTACAGGTTACTTCTTAGTGTATTGGTTTGAAGAAGTAAGGTAATAGCAGGAACACCACTTAGGAATTCCTCATTTGCCATTCATGCAAATGGGAAATCATGAGTGGCTAAACAATGATGACAGAATAGATTTTTAAAATTCAAACTAGTTGAAGTGCATAAAATAAACTGAACACATTTCAAGTATATAAGGCCAATGCTTTGATAAACGTATACACCCATGCAACCACAATTAAGAGGAAGAACATTTCTATCAGTCCCCAAAGTTAATCCATGTCCCTTTGCAATAACTCCCTGCCTCTACCTCCAGGCTCAGGCAACCACTGATATGTTCTGTCACAAATTAATTTGGGTTTTCTTGTATTTCATATAAAAGTAATCATATACATGCTACTTTTGTTTCTGGTTGCTTTCACTCAACACAATGTTTTTGAGACTTATTCATGGTATTATGTATATCAGTAGTAAAAAAATACATTCTTTTTTATCACTAAGTAGTATTCCATTGTAGAGATTTACAAAAATTTGTCTTGTATTCATCTACTGATAGAGATTTAGGTTGTTTTTGTTCCCAGCTATTATAAATAAAGTTACTATGAATATTTGAATACAAATGTTTCTGAAGCACGTTTTAATTTATCTTGAGCAAATACTTAGAGAGATTGCTGGTTATATAAAAGTTTATGCTTAACTCTACAAGAAACTATGAACTCTTATCCAAAGTAGCTGCACCATTTTGCAATTCTTCTAGCAACGTATGAGAGTTCCAGATGCTCTACAACTTCACCAACACTTGGTATTTTTTGTCATTCTAGTGGTTATGAAGTGATATTTCACTGTGATTTCATTAGAATCTCCTGATGACTTACAATATTTAAGGTATTTTCATGTGCTTATTGGCCAGTCCTTTTTTTCTTTGATAAAGTTTATTCAAATCTTTGTTCCCCCCATCCTGCTTTTACAGCTTTACTAAAGTATAACTGACATACGATAAATGGAACATATTTAAAGTATACAATTTGATACATCTTGATATATGCATACACCTATGAAACCATCAACACAATCAAGATAATGAACATATTCATCACTTCCAAAGAGTTTTCATGCTCCTTTGTAATGCATTCTTCTCCCCACCCGTTCCCTAAACAACCATTCTCTACTTCTTATCACTATAGATTAATTTGCATGTTCTAGAATTTTATATAAATGAGATCATACAGTATGTATTCTTTTTGGAGAATTGACTTATTTCCTCAGCAAAATTATTTTGCTATTCATCTATGTTGTACATATCAATAATTCATTTCTTATTATTGCTAAGTAGTGTTCTACTATATGACTATACCACAATTCACTTATTCATTCACCTATTGAAAAGTGGACAACTTGGCCAGACTTCATCTCTACAATAAATCAAAAAATTAGCTGGGTGTGGTAGCACCTGTAATTCAGGCTACTTGGAAGGCTGAGGCGGAAGGATCGTCAGGGCCCAGCAGGTTGACGCCGGGGTGGCCATGAGCATGACACTGCACACTCCAGCCTGGGCGACCAAGTGAGATTCCAACTCAAAAAAAAAAGAAAGAAAGAGTGAAAAACAATTGGGTTGATTCCAGTTTTGGTTATTACAAATTGAACTACTATAATCATACGTCTATGAGTCTTTATATGAACATGCCCTTTTATTTCTCTTAGGTAAATACTTACCACTAGAATGTCTAATCATGTGGAAGGTGTACCTTTAACCTAAAAAAACCCTACCAAACAGTTTTCTAAAGTTGTTGTGACATTATACAGTACTACCACCAGAGTGAGCATTCTATTTATCCTATAACTGTGCCAGAATTTGGTGTGGAGATTTTTTTAATTTTAGCCTTTCTAGAGGTATGTAGTGGTGTCTTATTGTGGTTTTAATTTACATTTTCCTAATGATTAATGATGTTGAACATCTTTTCATGAGTTTATTAGATATCTGCATACCTTCTTTGGTTGACTATCTGTTCAAATCTCTTGCCCATTAAAAAAAAAATGGATTATTTTAGCTTTCAAACTGAATTATAAGAACTCTTTATATATCCTATAAACAAGTACTTTGTCAGATGTGTAATTTGCAAATATGTTTTCCTAGCCTATAGCTTCCTTTTTCATTTAATTAATTAATTTATTATTTAGGTGGATTCCCAAAGTATTGAGACTACAGGCATGAGCTACCGTACCTGGCTGATTTTTTATTTTCTTAGTTTAGTTTTTGTTAGCAAATATTTATAACTTTGATGAGTTCTAACTTATCTTTTTTTCATTTAGTTCATGCTTTTAGTGACACATCTAAGAAATTTTTACCAAGTCAAAAGTTTTTTCCTGTAGTACAATCATAGCTTACTGTAGCCTCGAATTCCTGGGCTCAAGAGATCTTCCTGCCTCAGCCTCCCAAGTAACTTGGACTGCAGGTATATTCCATCACACCTGGATAATTTTTTTATTTTTATTTTTTGTAGTGGGTCATGCTATGATGCCCAGACTGGTCTTGAACTCCCAGCCTCAAGGGAACCTCCCATCAAAAATGCTGGCCATCAAAAATGCTGGGATTAGCTTGGCTCGGTGGCTCAGCCTGTAATCCCAGCACTCTGGGAGGCCGAGGCAAGTGGATTGCCTGAACCCACAGGTTTGAGACCAGTCCAGGCAACTTGGCAAGACCTCGTCTTTACAATAAATCAGAAATTAGTCAGGCATGGTAGTGCATGCCTGTAGTTCCAGTTACTTGGAAGGATGAGGCAAAAGGATCACTGGAGCCCAGCACGTTGACGCTGGGGTGGCTGTGAGTGTGCCACTGCACTCCAGCCTGGGCGACAGAGTGAGAATTCCAACTGAAAAAAAAAAAGAAAGAATGTTGGGATTTATGGTATGAGGCACTCTACTTGGACTGTAGTTTTCAATATATAGTTCTTACACATATTTTGTTAAGTGTATCCCTAAGTATTTCATGTTTTTGGATGTTAATATACATTTTTTAAAACTTTAAGCTGGGTGGGGTGGCATGCACCAGAAGTCCTAGTTACTTGGAAGGATGAGACAGGAGAACTGTTTGAGCCCAGAAGCTAGACTTCATCTCTAAAATAAATATATAATAAAATTTCCATCCTCAACTATTCATTGCTAATATACAGACACAAATGATTTTTGTATATTGACCTTATATCCTGTAGTCTTGCTAAACTCACTTAATAGTTCCAGTAGCTTTTACATAAATTCCTTAGAATTTTCATAATCTTATCATCTATGAATAAGGTAGTTTTGCATCTTTATTTCCAATCTACATTTCTTTCATTTATTTTTCTTGTATTATCACTTTGGCAGACCTCCAGTACAATGCTGAATAAAAGTAGTTAAAGTCACTTTCCTATTTGTTAAGTAACTGTCATCTCATTTTCCTTTAAGTCTTTGAACATAGTTTAATTTTTTAAGCATATTTTTAACATCTGCTTTGAAGTCCTTGTCAGCTAAATCTAACAGCTGGGTCCACTGAGAAATCCTTTCTGTTAACTGTTTTTTCCCCCTGAGAATGGGTCACACTTTCCCAACTCATTCCTTACAAGTCTCATAATATCTGGTTGAAATTGGACATTTTAGAGAATACATGGTAGTAACGCTAGATTCTGCTTTTTTTTTTTCTGATGCGCTGCTATTTTTAGTAACTACTCTGTGCTTAAATGACAGAATCTGACGTCCCCACAGTATGTTACCACTGATGTCTCTGCTCAGTTTTTAAAAAACTCTTGTTTGTATTTTAGCCTGGTTTCCAGGGGAGTATCCCTATACCTGC